TCTCTCTCTCTCTCTCTCTCTCTCTCTCTCTCTCTCTCTCTCTCTCTCTCTCTCTCTCTCTCTCTCTCTCTCTCTCCTTCTTAAACGTTACTTCTCCCGCCTTCATCTCTTTACAGCGCGAAACAACTACGGCTGGAGTAAAAGACAAATTTATTCGCCTCGCTTTAATCGTGAAATTTTCTAAACAAACATATTGAATTCAAATTACGTAGAGATAGTTTCGTGAATCGTTAGATATTGACACGAAAGACACGCAGAGTATGGCATATAGAATATGTAGAATATACACGTACAGAATATTTTGTAGAGAATAGAGAATATAGAATATAAAATATAAAGAATTTCATCAAATATGGAGTTGATAGTGAATTTTACGAAATATATACGCCGACACACGCTACGTTCAAAATTGAAAATTCCTTCGCATTTATATATTTACATTAAACGTCACTTAAATCGTCCAGTCTGTTTCACAATCGAAAGTTTCACTCCAAAAAGAAGTTCGATCCGAAAGAGGGGATTTCACTTGGCCGTATACATTTGTTTGAAACGGGAAAGTTTATTTACGAGAAACAACGGGGTGGCAAATGTTGAGGCAAGGACTCTCGGAAAGCAAAGGAACGCATTTTGCACGACCTAGTTCGCCGGCTGTCATTCAACGTGTCCGGTCCTCGACATTATATCGAAAAGCATGCGATCTTTTCAAACCACCGAGCGACCTCGCGTTGTTCAAGCTGCCACGGTCAGCTTAGCGGCACCCACGAGAATGGATCGCGTAAAAGCATAAGGCCATTTCGAGGGTGGTCACTTCCCTTCCGCGCGTCTCATTTCTCCGTCGAGAAATATGTCATGCCTCGCGAGAAAGGAACGCGGTGGCCTCCCATCTTTCTCCATCAAAAAGGAAACCGCTTTAAAAGGGATTAGCCGCTATTGGAAAAATCGTGTGGCTCGAATCGCCCTCCCCCCCTCTCCCGTGAAAAATCCATCCATCGTCGGAGGATCTCAACTCCGTATTAATCTTAACCCGGGACTGGGATTCTACAATTTAAAAGAGTTCTTTGGAAATTTCTGTAAGAGGATTAAGTTCTCCGTGCCATTTTATATTCCTTTATAATCGTGAAATTGTAATCGTCGCTGATATCGAGACGACTTCAGCTGATCGGGATTTCATGCCAATTTTCTCTTGCTAACTAGAAGTTCTTCGGTGACGAAGAACTGGGATAAATGCCCGCCTGAAACTGTGGACTATCATTCGACAATTTTTAATTAACGAATTCGATCCAACAACGGGATAGATGTTTATCAGAGAGTCGTATTCGAAAACAAACGGCACTGAAACAAACAAACGTCCTGGCTCGTTCGTAAAATTAATCAGATGCTTAGTTGCATGAACGTTTGTGAGGAAGCAACAACAATGGTAACTCCTAACTGGATCAAGACGCATTCAAACATAGATATAGCGCGCAATCAGTTTAACAGACCGACCAGAGCGTATTCCAGACCGATACTATAATTGCTTCGATTCTGTACGGGGGCTTTCAATTCATTAAAGAGTAGTCCAAACGCTTTTCTAATTCAATCGGGAACACGCCGCGATTCTTTGGTTAAACGCCTATGCGATTTTGACCGGGCTATTATTCAAGCCGGAAGCTAATGAATTTTCGTCAATTTATCGCGCAGCTTTTCATACGCTATCAAACTTCATTGTACGCCCTCTGTCCCCGACGACACAACCGTCGGGGAAGACCGATAGGCTATTGAATAATTCCTGTAGTGTCAGTGATCTATTGTCCGCAAACAACCATCGTCTCGCTCTCTTACGTGAAAAATATTCGCAGTTGGAAATCCTTTGCAAGTTTAAATTCTTCTACTTTTTTCTTTTTCTTTTTCTTTTTTTTTTTTTTTTCTTCGAGAATAATTGATTCGAACAAACTCGAATCTCACCTCGTCTCAAACAAGTTCTCTTTTAAACTTATAATCTTAATTTAGATTGTTTCGAACGTCGTACGAATTTTTCCAGATTTTTTTTTTTTTATTGTCTATGGAAAAAAAGCGTACGAAAAATGTAACAAGCGCTTACACTTAGGGGGTAACAATTTGATAAGTAAGAATTTTTATGCAACAAGATACAAACAAAAATGCGTGGAATACATACACGGTATACACGGAATATACTTTGTACTTTATAAAAATCTTTTCAATCTATAAAGAAAAAAAAAGAAATCTAGGAAAATTCATGCACTCGTTTGGAAGAACAAAGATCACTGATGCAAGACTAATGCACATATTTACAATTGTTCCCAACACCATGCGTCGAATTATCTAACGATAGTTGGACGATGAAGAATAATTTATGATTTGTTAGAATAATAAAGTTCCAGACAACAGAGAGTAATTTACAATTTATCGGGATAATAAAGTCCCCCAAAAGGAGGGGGAGATTTACCTGTTTGCCAAGTCCAAGAACCACGAGGAGCACGTAACCGTTGAGAATAAGACCCAGAGCAGAAACGAGGACAAGAGGCACGCCAAAGGCCCAAGGGACCATTCCTCTTCCCCCTGCCTGGTGGTTTGTTCGCCTTTGAAGATGGTTTCGGAGCAGAACTCGGCGAACACGTCGTTGCTCAGGTGTCGAACTCCTGTTTCGCGAGCCTGTTTCGCGGCCTCATGACGACCATGATGCATCTGAAACACCTGCAACCAATGTATGTTTATCGAAATAACTGAATTTATATACGCGTTCACGTGCCATTCGTATTGACTTCAAACCTAAACGATAATGATTTGGTTACCTCGAACGAATGAGGTTGAGGTTCCACCTGTGCAGCGATGTTGCGATAATTTTAGCAATGGAAGTCGAAAACCGAATTGCCATAGGATATTACAGAACGGCGTATGCAAATGAGCATCGACTTTTTGGGAACTAATTTCCAGGCTAATGGTAATTATTCGATGCTTAGATTGATGTTCCGATTGCGATTGCGCTTCGCTCGTATTGCTCTTGCACAAGCACAGGGATTACCTATACCACTATCAATCAATGATACGTTCGCATGTACGCGTGAGACGATGTTTGCCTCTGCTGATCGCCTTCGTCTCGGTTGAAAGACGAAAATTGCATCGTGAACAAACTCGGTCAAATTGTTCAGATCAATATAAAAATTGGCTGAGTAGGTATATGAAAATTCTTATAAACAGTGAGCTTTTCATATCTGTCATTTATTTTACCAGTGATGTAACGCGATGGCATCTTTGTGAGAGTTAATCGTCAGTAGAACGTTCTAAAATAACTTTTTGTAAGATCAAGGGGGCTGCTATAATTTTTCTGACTATAATCTTTCCATCGGGACCTATTGAAAGAGAATTCCATTAGGAACTCTATATCAAATTGAATATATTATCATACAGACGAAGTACAAATTAGAATTCCATTTAAAATTCAAGGTTTCCTCCTTTTGAAAGAAAGGAACCTGAATGGGAGATTACAGTGGATTTTCGTTTGACGAAAGATTTCTTTCGGGAACACGGTGCCTCGTGAAAACGAGAACAAAAATTAAATTGTTATTTTCGTCCTCTTTAACAATGTTTGCAAAACAACTTCCCTTGAGCACGAAAGTAAAATTATTCGATTATCTGAATAGTGTGTATGTCACGGTTAGATCGAATAATCAGAGTCCTGACGTGTTGTGACGTTTGACGGGTAATCTTTCATTGAAAAGTCGAAACGTGTTTTACAACTCGTTATCACGTTCCTATACACGACGTTGGTATATCGATTCATGAACGAGGTATCGGTTTGGTCAAGGCCGTTACATCTGGACACGAAAGGTCATCGGTTGCGAAGCGAAGTTCTCGATTCACCGCCAAATATGTCAATTAACGGTGCCCGTTACCGCGGAGATACATTGAATAATACATCAGTTGTTGCAGAAACGAATATAGTAACGATCCACTTCCGATGAACATGGAATATTCCATTTTAATCTGGATCGTTACAGCATGAGGAAACGGTATAAGGAAACAGGATGTGGAACGTCTTGTACCACTTCGAAACTTTCGATGAAATAACAGCGAAAATTCAATCGTTTATACTATCGACTTATACTATCGGCAGCACTTACTTCGCGAAATGGGAATGAGAAAGTTTAAGCAGCAAAAGTATAGAAAGGTCTTCCAGGAGATTTTTAACGGATTCGTTAATGTAAGAGTTATTTCTCATTCCTTGCACAAATATATGTGATCGAGAATTTGGCTCGTTTCGAATAAAATATTCGTATCCAGCTTCAAGTGTAGATTGAAAAATAGAAATTTGATTTCAAAGGTATGGCGCGTGATTCGAGCAACCTGAGAATTCGATATAACCCCAATAACTGGTTGAATTTCTCTGTTTCCATTCCTCTGCACAAGTCTGTGCAAAAATACGTGTGCTGCGTAACACTTCGCGAGCAAGTTCGATTAAACTTCAGCTTTGAACCGCCGTGATGTTACAGCGTCAGCAGCTCGAGACTAATGGGATCAGAAATAGAGCCGCTGATAACGGTTTGTCAAAGCGTAAGGCTAACAAGTTTTAAGACTGTCAGGACAGGGACGGGGGTGGCACGCAAGCAACATGGCGCAAACACGATGCGGTATGATAAGTGTTGCTAACGAAAATTACAGCTGACGGCTCAAGGTAATGCAAATGTTGGCTAATCCGCTAATGTCTCCTCGCTGGACGACGCGAGCGGGACACGTTTGCGTTAAATCCTGTCAATGGAAATCATCACGCTCCTCCCTGTTGCTTCTCCAATTCAAACTTGCCGCGAAACTTTGCCATCTCAACGTCAACAAACTTGTACAAACGTGAAACTATTTGACTATTATTCGGCAGGAAATTCCTCCTTTTTCCAAAAGTTATTTTAAAATTAATGGAACTGTGTGTTGAACAGTTCTTGTTGTCAGTTCGTCCAAAATGGTCCGAGAAATATTTAAATAGAATTATCAAATTATGTGTCATCGATTTGTATACAAGCACAAAATATCTGTAGTCAAAAGCAATGAACTGGAATTATTTGCGCTAATATTTTGGAATTTTTGTCGATCCAAATCGGATGATTTCTAAATTTGAAATAGATACGAGACAAATATACAAATCTAAAGAGATAATACTAGAAATTGTGAATCTGCGCCATCTCTGGGAAACTTGGTACCGAATCAAATTTGGTAGAAGACAGTGAATCGCGAGATATATTGTGAGCGAGACATGCACGATACAAAGAGACAAATGAAGAACAACTAACCGGAACGAGAGCGGATTTCGTCGAATTATACGTATAATGACGCGTTCCCCTTGTGAATATTGTTTGCCGGATCACGAGCAGCCAGTCGGCGGCATAATTTGGTTATACCGTCATTCAGGCAGTTCCATTATCGACCATTAGCCGGTTTCAACCTTTATACCGAGACGACTCGCGCCACTGTATACGTATTTCCATCGTTTAGCTCCTTGTTTCAGCAGCCTCGATTGTACACCATGCTCGTGAAAAAAAAGTCGACTCGTGTCCTGAATCTTCGTTGTTGTCAAAAGTTTCTTAATTAATGGGGAAAGCAGATGGAACAGAGGCAAAAAATTCGCGACAGATTAAATCAATGTCGGAATTTCTTACCTGCAAACGTGTTACACGCTGTTTGTTGATAATTGAAGTTCATGCATTTTCTATAATATAGTATCATGAAAGGTATCACTTAAATTTTCCATCGACAATTGAAACTTATTATGCCTCTTGCTTTTTGTGGTTAATATAATTTTAGGAAGCTACATAATGGTAAATGTGAAAATTTCGCTGATTCAGATATTAATTGAGAGAACTGTGAGCAAAATCCAGGATAAATTTTTATCTCGCCATTCGTCTATTATCGTCTAATCGTTTGCCTAAACGAAATAACATTCATGAATATTGCTCACTTCTGACGGATCCGATAAAACGATGAGTCTCAAAAGATTCGTCATACAGTATAAAAAAAGAAACAGGAAAAAATGGCAAGACGTTCGATTTTTCCATACACCATTTGCATTGTTCTTTGGTCGTTAATTCAATCGTGACAGATTTTCGTGCGTTCGATAATACATTTTATACTAATCGTTGAAAGCCCGCGGATAGAGTGCGAAACGAAGATAAACGAAACTTTAAACGCCGGATTTACGGGCAAATCCGCGAAAAGACGCCAAGTCACGCGACATTAATCGCCTTTCGTTCTCGTATTCAACATTTTCCCTCGCGTGAAATTGGAAAATAGTGATTTCCATACGCCTGAAAGGTTGCTCGTCGTGCACGATTTTCCCAGCGAGGGTCTTCTTTCAATTTCCCAAAATTCATGATTCTCTCCGTATCTGAAACGACATCTCTGTCCTGCGAATAAGTTGGAGTGGCTTGAAGCAAACGGCATGAAAGGACGAGGATTAAGGGCGAACAACAGCGATTCTTACTCCAGATGTTATAAAAGAAACGAGCCCTGATTGTGTTTTCTCGTTTTTGATACGAATTAACTTCCAACAATGTCGCCAGACTGCCAAGGATTCTGTGCATTAAAATGTTACGGTCTATTAAAACGGAAACGTTCGTTGCTGTTTAAATCACTCGCTGGCTGCGAGTGAAACAACGTACACACGTATTTATACTGCGCGAAAGGCATTAACGAGCTTTTGTCAATAGGATCGCGAGACAAGGGGAACGCGCTGCCGCTCGAGCACTTTGCCAGCACGCCGTGCATGTATTTAATGCGGTCAATTTTATGGAAATCGGATTCCTTTAATTCAATTTCGACCGAGGAAAATCTCGCGAAACCGTGAACCCGATTCGTTCTGTCCTATTTTTTTTAGACAGTTCAGCCGAAGAGATTCCCGATGGGAAATATTCGACGTAATCTGTTTTAATACTAGAAATTCGGAACATCGCTCAAAAGAGATGACATCGAATTTTTCCACGTTATTTTTAAATTTCAATTTGTATTTCTTCTACTTTCAAGAAAGACAAAAAAAAATAATGGATTAATAGAAAGAACACTGTTTACAGAAATCTAGATCAGATTTGCTGCTGTAGCATACGCAGAGAAATATACTGTCGATCAGGATACCTGAGGAAAATGAGGGCTGTTTATTTGTCATTCGAACTTTGGAAATATTCAAACTTACATTTCCACTATTTTACAATCGTATCGTAAATTCTACTCTATACGTGTTTTAGAATGGAACATAAAGGACGCGAGTTTTTATCACTCCTCTGAATCAATTTCAAATCTTATCATTCCTAAAATTTTATCATTTCGAAAATCAGTTTAAAAATTTTGATCATTTCTGCGTTGTTGTAAATCTATAGAATTTAGAGAAAAAGGAATAAAAATATGAATGGTTAGATCGTTGCAGTGAATATTCGCATCGGCATATAATCCTAGAATGGATTCCCTTAAATACATATGCATATACAATAGTATATGTATGTTTCAACATATGCCAGTAACCAACAAACGCTGCAACGAGGTTTTAGAAGCAATTGCATACGTTCTCTAACCGCTAACCAATCTTTCCGAAATTCTCATCGATAAACTCGTCACAAATATCCAAAGTTGTTCCCAATTTGTCGAAAACAATTTTAGGTAGCCAGGAGCGAGATAAACGGCCCCGCTCGTCGAAAGTTTTCTCATTCAAGCTTCTTCTT